TGGTGGGTTTATGAGTGTTCTATTTGTTATTACTCTCAATCTTATAAGCTATCTTTAAAAAACGATATACTTTACATCACTAGTTAGAAGTCTCTATTAATACTAGAGTGAGAACCTTGTTGTAGACAACTTAATTAACTCAAGAAAGAAAAAAGATTAGATCTATGATAAAAACATGAATTAAAAAGACCAGATCATTGAAAATTCTCCATAGAACACATAACTACTGACATCTGATAAAGAAAATAAGATATATGATAGTAGAGTATCGAGAATAATAGACTAGTTTAGAAACAGGCTAAAACTTAAGTATACAATTAGAGATACCATATATGCTTTCTTCCACAGGTGGGGATGCATTAAGAAATACGACAGATTACAATAAGCGAGGGAAATCTTATTCAGAAATGGCACAATGAAAATCAGCAAAGAGCTTGATATCAGACATATTGTAAAAGAACTAAGAACAATTAAGTTTATCTAGAAAGTACTATTAACAAAATATTAGAGAGTAATGATACCTTATTTTAAAGGAAACTTATTAAATGAAGTTGCCAGTAACCAAGAAAATAAAAATTCAAAAGCTTAATATAGCAAGTTAGCTGAATTTTTAAAGTAAGCTCTGATATCAACCAACGAAAATGTGTTTGATAAGAGATTGATTAAATCGATTGAGCTAACAAAAGAGGAGTAATAGTAACTATAGGAAGTGTTTAATAGCAATAGCTAAGTTTCAAAAAGAACATAGAAAAGCCAAAATATTCGAGGAAGTAATAATTCTTTAAGCGATGAAAAATAAATTAGAAATTAATACAAGGATTCAGAAAACTATATTGATTAAGATGAATTTGAGTCTGATTACCAATCTCATCATGGATAAAAGTAAAAAAATTAAAAAACTAGTTCTGCTTCTGAGTAGCATGAAATATATATACCAGACATCTAGCCATTATCAAACTTGAGTAAAAGTGCTTTTGATTTAAAAATTTAAGGGTAGCCTAAATATCTTCAGAATATCTGATTTAGCCATATTTCTTTCTTTAATTTTAATTTCTTCTAAAAAACAGATTTCTAAATGAAGGGGTTTTGGGGTTTTGGGGTTTTGGGG